TGGATCCAACCCTCTCTGACTGTTCCCGACGAGCTCCTTTGTTTCACCAGGACGTCTGATAGAACAGCGTGCCCCGTTACTGGACTGTCCTGAGATGTGACTGCAGTCAGAGCTGATCTCTGATGCTGCGTGCCTTCTCCCATGCTCTCCCCGGTGTTTGGGGTACCCGTAACCCCCGGGGTGGCCAGGGAAGAGGAGGAGGCAGCTGCACCACGTTGCATTGGAGCCAAGTTGGGGCTGGTGCTGGTGTTCCTGCCGCTCTCCTCTCATGGGCTGCTAAAAATTATGAGAAAAATCAAGAGCAAGCAAAGTTTTTGTAAGCGGGGTGGTGGCTGACTGCCACCCCCAGCCTGGTACCAGCCGACATTATCTCTATATGTCAAGTTTGATTGTGGTGGGTGGGATTCACAGGGAGACACTGAGGGCATTGGGACACCCCCACCCCCCCAGGTCTCTGGTGGGAGAGCGATCAGAGCCCATTGCTAGCGCAGCCCTGAGGCGCTGCCACGGACGAGGCACTGCGGCTGTGGCACCCAGGGACGAGCTGGCATTGGGGTGAAAGGCTACTGCTCTTCCTTGCTGCAGGGAAACGTGGGTGAGCAGAGGCAGGAGAGGTGCTCTGAGGAGGTGGGGGCAGAGCAGGGCAGCAGCACCCCGCCTCATTCCTCGCGCGCCTACATCCCCTTCCTCCAGCCCCAGGCTCCTGCCTTACTCACAGCACAGGGAGGAAACCACTGTCTCTGTCTGCAGCAGCCGCTGTGAGCCGGTGCAGCTTCTCTGGGGTCACCCGCCTGCTGTGGTTTATCCCCCCAGCCCAGGGCTGTGATGGCAGTGGCTGGCGGTGGCCCGGAGCATCCTGCTCCCACTGGCCCTGCACCAAGTGAGGCTTGGACTGGGCAAGCTCAGAGATCCCTGATGGTTTCAGCTGGTCTGGGGTGCTCCAAAAATTCATCCGTTTGCAGGGAGTGCAGCTTCTCTCAGAGCAAATCTCCTTACAGACCTCCTGTTTCCTGAGAATTACTCCAGCCCAGGGAGCAGAGTAAATCTTCTGCAATATGACATGCTGGCTTGGCCTATGAACAGCCACAGTTCTCATTCCTTTGGCCCAGCCAGCGCCTGTGTGCTGAGCATGGCACAGCAGTGGTAAATCACAGCCATCTCTCTGCAAGTGTGCGCACACACAGTTGATTTGGAAACGTTTTATCCCAGTTCTATGAAATAATATAGCGTTCCTCTTGCAGCCTCCTGCCTTCTCTTCATTAACTCTCCATCCCTCTTTGTTTTGGCCCAAGATTCCCCACTGCCTCATGTGGAGCCGGTGTATGAGCAGCCTCTGCAGCCATCTGTGTGCTGCGTGTGAGCCTGCTGCAAGCTGGTCTCCGTTGGGTTTCACATCCAGAGAGCTGCAGCACCGTCGAGTTGTAGGGTGTGAATTTCCAGCAGTGTGGCTAGGAGAGAGGAAGCATTTAGTATTCTGGTCACAGAGGTATGAGACCTTGTTGGAGTTCAGTATCACCAGCCCTGGAGAAGGGAGCTCTGATTGGGCTAACTGGGACTGTCACCTCTAACTCACCGGAGGCTGTCAGCGAGGAGCAGCTGAAGCAGCGTTGCAGGAAGGTCATTCGCTTTTGTGGGGACACATGAGGGGTTGGATGCAGAGAGCTCCATATTTTTTCCAGGAAACCTCATCCTTCCTGAATCCGCTCTCTGCTAAAAACCATTAAAAGCCTATTCACAAACAGTTTCCACCTGAGAAATAATCGCTTGTATGAAGATTTAAGCTCCTCATTTCTCACAATGATAATCCTTCGCAAAAATGAAATAAGGATTTCTGCAAAGTCTGTGGAGGCTCTTGGCATGATTACATCCAGCAACAAACTGCCCCATTAACAAAACAAAACTTCTGTTGATGCTTGCCCAGAAACTGTGCCCAAATCTTTACCTTGTAGGTTACTGTAGAGGTGCTTTTATAGGAGAAAAGGGTTACCAGCTGCACATTAAAACTGCTTCTGACTGAAGCTTAGGGTAACATTTTTCAATGACAGACTCTTTCTGTCCATCTATATTTAGAAGCATTCGAGTGCCAGTGCTAAACCAATGCTCCCAGTTTTTGGTTAAAACCAGGAACCCTTCTGTCCTTTTCCCCAGCAAAACTCAACTTATCTCTCATTCTTACCAAACACAGTTAAAAACATATACATTTCTGTGGCCTCCCCACGCTTCCGGGAAGATCAACATGGATGAACAAGGAGGGTCTCTGCCTGTGCCATTGCCTCAGAAAAAGCTTGTGGTCCCTGGGTGTGAGCATTACTGCAGGCTACAAATGCCAGAGGCTTAAATAGCATCAGCCGCTGAAGTATCAGCTGAAGAAAGCACAATTTGAGATTACCCCTGAGAGAGAGAGGAGATTCCTATTAAACCAAAAAAACTCAGCTCTTCCTGAAAGTCACCAAAAAAAAAAAAAAAAAAATCAAAAGAAAGCACCAGAGCAGAAGGGGAGACTGGCACTGAGGTAAGGAGGAAGCACGATTCTTTTATCACAATAATAATAATAATAATAATGCAAATACTTTAAAATCCTTCTCTAGTGGCTAAAAAGAGCACACCACCTTATTTATCATCATTGCCAGCACTCATACAACGACAAAGATAGTTTTCTTTCTTCTGATTGCTTTGCAATTACAGGTAAAAATTGTAAGGTAATTGGATTTTATACACCCTCATCCAAAGGCTTTGGAACATGATTATCTATGGTGATTGACATATCCCAAGTGGTGAATTATTGCATTAGACATGTATGCAGCTCTTACGTAGAGCCAGTCAGAAAATGTGTGCCTGGCATGGAGGTGCCTAGCTTCAGTCCTTACTGGGAAATGGCGCAACCTGGGCTGAGACCTGGCTGGGACCAGACAGATTTGGAGAGTTTCTGTATTAGTGGCTGCAGTGAAAATAAGCTATAACCACTGAAAGGCTCTACGTTATGAGAGATATGAGAGGCAACTTAATAAAGAGGTATTCCTTCATACCACCCCACCCCCCCAGATGTCCATATGATGCAACGAGTTCTCTTTTCCCAGTTCTGAGCTGCACTTCTTGTCCAGTAGGGTCACAGGAACAAACTGGGAATCTGTCCCACTCAGAGGGTGGCTCTGGGGATCAGGAGTACCTGCCTGAACTGGGGCAGCTTGCTTCTCTGCAAAACAAAACACTCAGGTAGTAGATGAGGGAAAGGCTGTGGATGTTGTCTACCTGGACTTCAGTAAAGCCTGTGACACCATTTCCCACAGCATTCTCCTGGAGAAACTGGCTGCTCACAGCTTGGACAGGTGTATTCTTCACTGGGTAAAAAACTGGCTGGATGGCCAGGCCCAAAGAGTTGTCCTAATTCAGGCCAGCACGCGCTGCTGCTGGTGTGGCACAATCTGAATGGACTTCATCATGCTGAATGAACAACTCTGCCTTACAAACCACCGGTAATGGCTGAGCTTCCAGCAAATCATAGCTGCTATTCAAATAAATTATAGCTCCTGTGAAGAAGATGAACATTGCAGTTTCAGATAAAAAAACATGACTAGGGAGCTTGCTTTGACAATAAATTGAGGCAATCTAAAAAAAGAAAATCTGCTTATGTCAAGCCTTAGGAAGTGGGCAGTGAATTGGCTAAATGATAGTTACACATTTCACAAGTCCGGCTGTGCGAACCACTTCCAACATATGCAATTCGTGTATATAAAAGACAATGCTATTTTCTTCCAAGTACAGAAAAATCCACTGACATTTCTGAGGTGCTATTTTTATGTAGACCTTCTTTCAAAAATGGCTCTTAGCTTCAGAAATAATAGCCAGCAGAAAACACAGCCACTAGTTTGATGATGAGAATGGCGACAAAGAATGACAATGAGTCTCATCAGGGCTGGGCAATTCACAGCCCTTCATCTGCAAAACCTTTTATTACAAAATGTAGAAATAAAAGAAACTGACCTGGTGGGAATAAGGGCAGTGACTCTTTTAACAGCTGTCTCCAGGGGAGAAAGCACAACATATTAACCCTATAAAAGCAAATTTCCTGTACTGTTTAAGGAACAGTCTCCAGCAGAGCATTTGCACAAGGCCAGTATGTAATGAACAGAATCCTTGCATGCAGACACACAAACAAGATATATAGATACGTATATATAAGTAAAGGTATACAGATATTTAAGTAGAAGATGTCAGTAACAGGGTGAGTCTCCCTGCCAGCTTTACTAGGAACATTTTTAGAAGGAAAGAATATAACCTAGAAACAGTATTATCAGAAACTTCTGTTTGTTGTGATTTGTAGCTTCACACAAATATTGAAATGAAGAGGAAAGCATTTCAGATTTTTTTTTTCAGATCTGCAAGCAAAATACAGAAACACATAAAAAGATTTGTCAGTATTAACAGCCAGAGAATGAATCAATAGATCTGCTGTGGACGGAAGACTAAGTTTTGGGTGGGTTTTTTTTGGTAAAAATTAATAAATTCTTTTAATATTGCATATTATTCTCTGTGTGCAGATGTGCGTTTTCTCGTTTCCCATTTTTATATTTAGTACAAACATATGGCAAAGACTTGTTTGCCTTTTAAAATGGATAAGAATCAGACAATAGTTCTGAAGTAAGAGCCACACCAAATATGCTTTGAAGTGAAACAGAATCTTTCCACTACCTTCAAAAGAAGCAAAGTCAATCCCAAACTACAGAATCCCATGGATATATGGTGGGAAAGCCAATCTAATTCCTAAAGTTTATTTACTAAGCTATAGTAAAATCCTATGTTAACAGTTGGAGATCTATAGAAATCCATAGTTAGAGCTAGCAGTAGGTAGCTAGAGATCCAGAGTTAATAATGATTTAAAGCAAACAAACAGCAATAAATTACGTTGTCTAACCAGGCTAGAAAAATCAAAATATGCCAATTAAGAGAAACACAGAGAACAGGACAAAGCTCCTCTATTGCTTACGTGCCAGTCTAGCCAGTCACTGCTTCTCTCTCTCCTTCATTATATCGATGTAGTTCAGCACCTCTAGAGTCCTTCTGCCAGCCAAACTCAGATACTCGCCTTCGGAAGAACATGCCACTATTCTCGCTGCGCTGCTGGTGCCTGCAGGCTGCAGTGCCTCATGTGCTGGCATTTTGTGCCCTCCAGCGGTGCCCGTGGCGCTGGGTGGGGGGAGCTCCCCCGGGCTGCGGGCAGAGGGCAGGGAGCCCCGGCAGCTGCACAGTGGTGTGGGGTCACACTGGGTGGCAACATCCACTTTCTCTACTTCTGTAACAGAGCTCTCAGTCTGCGACCAACCATCGCAGCTGGTACTGCGAGCAACGCATTCTTTCTTAAGGGTTTGGTGTAACAAGCTGCCCTCAGATGGGGCAGCGTGGTCTTTATTTTCCTCCTCTGTGGCACATAAAATAGAGTCTTTCTCCTGAAGATGATTTGCTGCTTCTCTAGTCAAAATACTGCTGGGCTGGAGAGGTACAAGTCTGGTGTGAGAGCTCCTGGGGGGCTCTGTACGCCCTGAGGCTGAGACTGGGTTGGCACCATCTATCTTCAGGGACTGTTCCTTCAGATATTCCTTCTTTTTGGCTGTGTCTTCCTCTTCAGACTGTTTGAACAGAATTGTGTGAATGCAATTGTTAAAATCATTCAATAACTAAGTACTGAGTTAATGACTAACTAATAACTAAGTTAATGAAATAAAGAGAAAGGCCAGAATTGACTGGTTTTAGTTGTTTGGGTTGTCTGGGTTTTTTCATTCTTTCTCCAGGGTTGTATTTCTGGCCACTGTTGAAGAGAAGGTGGTTAAGGCAGACCTTCAGTCTCACACAGAATTTCTAAATTCTTATATCGTGGGGTTATTGTGTTCAAGAATGGCTGAAAACACACAGTGTGTCCAAACCTCCTCCCTTACAGGCATGTAATGTAAGGCACCTGTACGTCAAGGAAGAGAGCAGAGGCTTGTTTAGCATCTTCCCACAGTCATGTTGTAATTCCACAGGGCCTGGTGTTATCAAGAGACCAGTCTGTTAAACTACTTAGGAAAATTTACAGCTAATCATTTCTTGTTTTCCTCACACATGAAGTTGCCTTGTACTAAACCAAACCATAAATACAATTCCAGCTACATCCACCCGTAGATGCACTCAGGCATACCTATGTCATTCAAACGAAGCTGTGCAAACCCAGAGAGGGGCAGTACTCACCGTGTCGGGACTAGAACTGAAACAGCTCTCTGTCTGCCTTGGGGAGTAGCTGGGAGACTGGCTGCTGAGGGATGACTCCACATCTGAAAAACGAGATGAAAAGGAAAGAGAGGTTACTCACCAAAAACCTCCAACTGTAAAGTACAACATGTAGAATTAAACATTACTACTTCTGATGCAGTTTTAAGATATTGTTTAATGAATAAAGTGTTAGCAAGGTCAATCTAGGTCTTGGCAATAGCCAATTCTTCTCCTCTCAGGACAACTCAACACAAAGCACGACATGGGTGCTCCAAAGCTTCTGCTATGCTATTAATCAGCAGTCTGCACCAGCAGCAGAACTGTGCTACCCAAAAGCAAGGTCAGGTTGGACGGGGCTCTGAGCAACCTGCTCTAGTTAAAGATGTCCCTGCTCATTGAAGGGGGGTTGGACTAGATGGCCTGTGAAGGTCCCTTCCAACCCAAATTATTCCATGATTCTATGAAAAGAAGGAAGGATTCTGCAGTGAGAGAGCAGCAGCGAGAAATGCAGCAAACTCCCTGCACACATCAGCTGCCATACAACTACATGGGCTTATGGCGATGTTTTTTTCTTGGAGGCCCTTGGGAGATCCTCAGCTCTGAAATGCAGCCAGCAGAGTTGATCCCTACAGCTACTGATGCAGCAAAAAGGATGTGGGATCTCTCTGCTGATGCCCCTCTCTCTGCCCACATGCGGATCGACAGCATATAGTCTAGTGGAAGAGAACAGAGACTAGTAAAGACTAGACCAATAAAATGGCACATGTCATACATCTAATGAAGATACTAATTAATACAGAAAACATGTCCAAGATTTTTTCCAACAGAGGTGTACAGGAATAGAAAGAAAGAAAATGACTGCATTTGCTTGACACTTTTAATATATGGTAATGTTGGTAAACTTGAGTTGTGTTCAGAATAATACGCTTGACCTCTCTTGTGGATTTTTTTTTAATGATTTTTTTTAGTAGTTTCTCCTAATTTCAAAGCTGGATTTTCAGTTTAGGGGACAACTCTGGAGGAAATGGGACAATGAAAAATATGTGTGTAATACTCACCAGAGAGAAGTTAACCTGAATTTGTCTCTTCAAGGAAAAGCAAATACAGATAATTCTTAACTACCCCATAATGTTAGTCGTCTTTATACAGTGCTGCATGAATCAAAAATACAAGCCCTCATCAAATGTAACATCCTAAAAAGATCAAAACACTTCTCCCTGGCTTTAAAAGTAACTGTTTCAGTTTTACATGTAGACAAAAATCTGTTTTTTGACTTAAGAAGGTATAAATGGTACTAACCCTTCTCCATCTCGTGAAGATCTGAACTCAGGCCAAACTTATACTCTTTCTCTTGTGCTGTTGTGAACTTTTAAAAATAAGTAAGTGTTAGTAGGGAGGGTTCAGCTGGATCAGCACCTCAGGTTAAGTGAGGAACATTCAGTTTCTGTATTACATAAAGGAGTCACTGCACGGTACCATGAATTATTTTAAGAGGTACAAAACCCCTGAGAAATACTCTATGTACCTGGGTGACTTCTATGGGCAAAATATCTACAAGATTCTTTATATGCATAGTAGCATAAAGCTCCTTTATAATACTGAAGTGTCCTGCATATAGTGTCTGGGCAGAATCCGATCCTAAGGGGCAGAATCCGATCCTAAGTGCCTGCAGAATCCGATCCTAAGGGTTAATGGGTAACTTACTTACACAATGTATTTCAGGAATCAGCTTAGATGTGAATCAAACCATGTGAATCATGGACCTGAAAGGACTGTCTATCTGAATCACTGAAGTGGAAGCTGTTCCTTTGGATTTCCTATGTAAACCACGGAGAAAAGAAGCTCCCACAGAGGTTAATTCAGAGAAGCTAAATTCAGTTTCTAACTGTTGTGGGCATTCCTTCTCCACTTCAAATGAATGGGGCAAACAATAGATTTGAAAAAAATATGTCTCTTTGAAAAGTTACCTCTTCAAATCCAAAGAGCTGTTTCTGTTTCCAGACTGATTCTTTCACAGACTTGTCATCACTGAAGGATACAAACACAGAGTTCTCTGGTAAGTGATTTCCCTGCCCTGTACTTTTATTTTCTTTCTGAATTAAAGTAACTACTGGTGACTTTTTTGTCTTTGATTTTTATTTTGTCTTCAGTAAACATGAAATGCTTTACACTATTGAGATCACTGAACTTATTTCTGGACCTGAGATTTAACACCGAGAATCTGTTTTTTCACAAACTTCACTTCTGTTGAAATGCAAAATATAATATGAGACATGACAAAAGATAGTGCTGCTTTGTAAAACAGAAGGTGTTATGCATCAGAGCCTTTGATAAAACCATCTTTTGTAAAACATGAGGCACTCACATATGCTAACGTTAGCCCAAGGAAGACACTAACTTCCTCTGTAGTCAGTAGAAGGAGATAGGGCCTTTTAGAGGGCAAGTCAGAGAAACAGCTTAACTTCGGGGACCCAAAATTGTCGCATGAAGCAGCTTTTCTCTGTACCCATTATGGTGCAAAGGGCTTACATGCACAAAAGTTTATTCACTACTGTTTTCACTGGGAAGACCTGGGTCCTCGGTAATACTGTTTAGAATTTTGCCTTCATGTCCTCTTAGCAGGATTTCTCCAATTCAGCAAGGTCTCTGCAGTCATTACTACTTAATAGACTGATAATTTCTATGGCACTCACCATTTTTTTCTTGAATAGTTCTGCACATTCTCCTTTAAGTTAACCCGCTGATCATGGTGATAAACAAATGTCTCTAAAATAAAAAAGTAAATCTTGATTTTAAAATGCAATAGCATAAATGCGATTTGAAAATAAATTCTTCCATCAATTTTTAAAAATAATTTTAATAATTGGATTTAAAATTAAATTACTGCATTCTGAAGATTCATTACATGTTTTTTGGTCAGAGCTGACACACTCCTGGTTATAAAAACATATGTCCTTAAAATGAGAATAAAACCCAGAATATATGTCCTTAAAATATTGACATTTACCAATTTTATCAAGGTTTGCAGGTTTTTCAGAGGGTATGAAGTAGTGTTGTCTCTCATGACAGTCCTGCACGTGGGTTTTATGAAGTCCACTGGTTTTCTTGTAGCTTGCACTTGAGGCATTGTTACTTTGAAGTAAAACCTGTTCCGGAGCTGTGAAAATGCCTTCAAGATGTCTGTCTACAGAACTTGTTTTTGCATTGATTGCAGGATAAGCTTCTCTAGTATTGTAACGATAATTTCTGTTGGTCATTTGATTTCTATCATCAGGATCAATGAAAAAAATGGCAGTACTGCTTTGGTTAACAAAAGGATTAAAATGTTTTGTGGAAGGATTATTATGGATTGGTTGGCTCTCATCTTCAAACAGCGCCAGAAAGGAACAATCACTCCCATCCTGGGGAGCTCTCAATTCTGCAGCTTCTTTCACTGCATCAAACAATGGTTCTTTTAATCCTTCACTGTTTTCTGACTCGTTACTGGTCATTATGACTGGATTTTTCCTGGCAGAATTCATATAGTCTAGACTGGGGGTGAGGTGGGGAGGGTAGAAAAGAAAAGAAGTTTGCTCAGTACATAAATAATCAAAATACTAACTGCTAATACAACAAATTATGATAACGTGATGATAAAAATCTCAAAGACTTTACTGCTCATCACACTTGCTTTTGTCCCAAATGTACCTTATTTCAGCTGAAAAAGAGTGCTGTTTTTTATTCCCACTTTATTGTAAGGTTGATTTAAAAGGGATTTAGAGACATTTCATGATGACGTGGAGCACATCCTCCTGACTAGGGAACTGTGATTTATAAAATCAGCCACAGTATGTCACTGCTGCTCCACCAGCTGACCAAAGAAGACCACTTGGGGGAAAAAAAAAAAAAAAAGGAAGACAGCTGCTTCTGTTCATAAAAATAGTTTGTTCTTTAAGACCACAGCGCTCTCCTGTACTGAAAGCCCATAATAAGCTCTGTGTACTGCTTAATTACTGAATTACAGAATTTTTCTATTCCACTGTCAGGAGGCCAATCAGACATTTTGTTTTGCCCATACTTCCCTACCCTACTTCTGATAGTAGTGGTTTTGAAGATGCTGTCATGCTAGCATCATTAGCATGAAAGCTATCATGCTTTCACTTACTTGGCTCTTAATCTAACATTTTTGCTGCTTCTTTCTAGGCTCGATCTGCTGACTGACCTTTCAAAATCTGAGTAAAAACTTGAGAGGCTTCTGAAGCACAGAAAATTGGTAAAGGCAGCCATTCAAAAATGCCCTTGCTTTAAAAAAATTTGAGCAATGCTATCAATGGAACTTGAAAACTGAAATGTAGTAGAGAAAACTCTTACTGGAGAAAAATTCTGTAATGTTTTGGAACGGGATAAAGATGCTAGAGAAATTAAATGAGAGAGTAGTATCCTCTACTTATGGACACACTTCTCCAAAGAGTTTTAAAAGGCTAAACACACTAGAGTTTGTTTCTGGAGCAACTTGGATAGATCTGCGTGAGGAAGGTAAAAACATTTTGTGAAGCAATTGAGAGGCTCCTTCTTCACTCCAGCTGAACATTTTGTAATGCTAAGTAAAAGTTAATAGGAGATGCGGAAAAAGCTAAGCACTATTCAGAGTGAAAGGCATCTGCTATTTTTATAAGACATCTAAAAATTTTAGTTAATATTTAACGAACTTGAGGTGCCACAACTCTTGGATATATGCACATTGATTACATCATCAGTATGTTACAATTACATTAAACGATTGTATAAGTTTATATTCTACTTTTCACACAGAGTGAAAGAAAGTCCCTTCCCAGGAGAAATGCCAGCTCTTGAGGTATAAGAATTTATGGATATAATGGATGAAAACAAAAGAAGGACAATACAAAGAAACGGATTTGAAGAACAGTTGGAAAGGAGATGTCTTGCAGGTCTTGAGGGAACTGGTGGATGAAGTGGCCAGGCCACTCGCCATCATATTTGAGAGCTCCTGGCAGTCCAGCGACGTTCCCACCGACTGGAAAAGGAGAAACATAACCCCATTTTTAAGAAGGGTAAAAAGGAAGACCAAGGGAACTACAGACCCGTCAGTCTCACCTCCGTGCCTGGCAAGATTATGGAGCAGACCCTCCTGGAGACTATGCTCAGGCACATGGAAGATAAGGAGCTGATTGGTGACAGCCAACACGGCTTCATGATGGGCAAATCGTGCCTGACAAACTTGGTGGCCTTCTATGATGGGGTTACAGCATCCGTGGATAAGGGAAGGGCAACTGACGTCATCTACCTGGATTTGTGCAAGGCATTTGACACTGTCCCGCATGACATCCTTGTCGCTAAATTGGAGAGACATGGATTCGATGGATGAACCAGTCGGTGGATAAGGAATTGGCTGGGTGGTCGCACTGAAAGGCGGTCAATGGCTCAATGTCCAAGTGGAGAACAGTGATGAGTGGTGTTCCTCAGGGGTCGGTACTGGGACCTGCAGTGTTCACCACCTTTGTCAGCGACATGGACAGTGGGATC